TGCCGTGAACGTCAATCACATCCAGTCTCTCCCGGGCAGCGTTAACGCGAGTTATAACTCAAGTGCTGTCCACACACAAGACACCGGTCACTCAAGGGCAGTGTAGCTTTTAATGCAAGCTGGCTGCCCCGCCGGGGGTCAGAAGTTACAGCGCCAGTCAGCCCAGCACACCGGCTGCTAACACGACCCCTCTGGGCTGTGTTTTTTTGGCCAGGTGGCTGCTCTCACCTGAGCTAGGCTCAACTCTGTAGATAACTCGAGTTAACTCTCCAGCAAAGACGCTGCCTAAGGACTCTCAGCGGTGTTACTGCATCAGCTCCAACGCGGTGACTCCTGACTTACACCTGGATCAGGGTGATGGGAATCAGCCCCCTTGACTCCAGTGGAGTTACTTCTGATTTACAAAGGGGTGGGCAAGAAGGGAAGGACTGTTTCTACCAGGGATTGGAGGACAAGTTTCCCTGAAGTCCAGTGAAATTTATAAGGCAGTGTCTGTTTCCTGGAGGTTTTGGGGGGGGGAGGGGGATCTTATAGAGCCAGGGTCTCATCCTGCATCTTAAACCACACACACACACACACACACACACACACACACACACACACACACACACACACACACACACACACACACACGTCTTGGTGAAGGAGGATTTGCACATCACACAAGCCAGAGAGACCCACTGCACTGGGGAGAGGGAGAGAATTTGCCATTGTCCTTTGAACATTCCAGGCGGATGGCAGTGGAATATTTATCAGCTCTGCATTCACAGCTCCCCCAAAAGCCTGAAAGGTTCACAGGACCTGAGCTTAACCTTTCTTTCAGGCTTTTCTCATTGCTACACAGAGCCCTGGCTCACAGCAGCTGAAGGCAAAGATCCCTGGCTCCTGGGGTTGATGGAGGAGCTGGAAGGGAGGTGGGGGCAGGAACCGAACTGATCAAGGCAACACGGAGCGAGGTGGCTGGGGGTGCGGGGAGGTGGTCGTCTCCGGGATGAAGTCAGTGGTTCCCCATGGGTTTGCCCCTAGAGCTGGCCGAAAAAAATGTCGCCAGAATCGTTTTCCATCAGAAAACGCAGTTTCGTTGAATCCAAAAGGTGTCGATTTCGATGACATTTTTGCTGGAAAAATGTTAAAGCAAGAAAGTTGAACTGATTTATTTTGATTCATTTAGTTTCGACTTCTACGGCACGTGAAAATCTTCATTTTGTTATATTGATATGATATTTAATAGCCTATTTTATATAGTTTATTCTGACATGTATAAAATAACGCTTTGAGGTTATGAAAAGGAAACATTCACAGGCTTCCAGAATGAATTCTCTGGGAATTTTCAGTCCATGCGCCATTTTCAAAATTTCAACGCTTCATTCCAATTCAGGACGAAAATGAGTTCCCCCGTGACAGATTTCCCCCCAGGAGACAAATTCCATTTTCTGACCAGCTCCCTGCTTCGCCACCTTCCTCAGCTGTCTCCCCACATGGGACAAACTTGTCTCCTGACCCCTTTATGCCCCACTGATGGACTGAACATTTTCACGAAAAAAAAATTTTTTTCTATGAAACTCGAACCAAAAAATTAAGAGTAAAATTGGTTGTGTGTTGACTTTCTCGTTTATATATTTTCTTTCTTTGCTTTTTTCCTTCCCTCCATCTCCCCTCACCCCTCCTCCACTCTCTTTCTCTCTGGGGCACGCACACTTCTGCTTTGCTTCTTTTTCCTTCTAAATTGGCTGAAATGAAACTCAGGAGTAGTTGGGCAGGGTTATTCAGGAGTT